ATAGCCCTGGTCTTAGGCAACATGTGCTAAACTCTTTGTTTGACAGAATTCGTCGTAAGGACAAAATTGTTCGCCGCGGTAATTGAGCTCGGCACTTCAGTTCGAATTCGCCACCCACCTCTCACCGTGCCACTCCTCCTCTTTGTGCTGTCGCTGCAATGCTTCTTATATAGCGAAGTACTCTGCTTAGGGATGCTTTATATCACAGAATGTTTTATGGCGTAGAATATCTCACTTTTCTAGTTCATTGGTGCACTACAATATCAGTGCAAAGTGCAGTGCCCTACACTATACGCAGCAGTAAGTTATATCGTGTCCTAGCACATGTACCGTATAGTTTAGAAGCAGCACAGGAGTATTATACTATATTTTGTACTAATGTTTCTTCATATTGGTGTACTGAAGGACAGTACGGTATTGTACGTCCATGAAACACTGTAAGATGCAAATGCGTCGGTTTGTAAGCTATGCAGGACATACATATGAGTTATGATGAGCTACTTACGCAGACCCTTCAATTTGGCGATGCGTAGTAAGTTATCTCCGTTCCTCGATCTGGTGGAAAATATGTGCATGCTATCTGCTATCGCGATGACCTTGATTTGGCTTGACTACTATATGTTAAGTATGACGTGTAAAGTATGTTGTAGTATAATCTGAGGCTTAATTGACTACTGCACTGCTAATATCAGAGCCTGCCGACTACTCCTGCTATGTACTACTGTTTCTGCAAATATGATGAACTGTAGTGCCATACTAGTATTTCAGTAGCAGTACTATACATGTGGATAGTGGCGCGGCGATTGCTTTGCGCTTTAGAAGTGACAGGTTCAGGCCCAGTGCGAGGTGTAATTTTTTTCCTATTAGCTGCTGTATCTCTTGAATAAGGAATTCGCTCCACTGTACTTCGGTACAGTCAACCGAAGAACGGGTGCTAGTACTAATTCTAAATACAGGTAAATTTTCTATTTACGTTGTTCAGAGTAGCGCACTGCTTTATTGTATATTATATTGTGATAAAGAGGAGTAACGTTGAATGGTTATTGAAACCTAATTCGTCCTCACTAATTCCAGGCTCTGATCAATAAATTGGTTAGACTTGTTCATGATTTCTTTAAAGTACACTGGAGTACGCTGCCTAGATTTACATGTGTTCCATCGGCTGCCATACGTTTGTTTTCGCATTCTTACTTGCTGTACGGCTAAAATAATTCTCCGCTAGCTATCGACCGTCAATGTTCGTGTCAGTTGATTTTTTTGAAACAAAATGTCGAATGCTGGTTATTGGTCTAAAAATTCAGCGACTATACCAACCCACTCTTCATACGACAAAAGTAACACAACATCAAATCATTCTCGTACTTTTTATCAGGTTACCTTCGTTTCGGTTTGCTTTCGGTGCTTTGCACTGAATTATTGAGGTAAATTTTGGATTTGTGGTCGAGAGTAAATTGAAAACTATCGTTGTGCCATACGTTTTAACGAAGTAACCGTGCATACTCCTTTATTCTCCCTCTTCATATGATTATTTAAACTTTCGCAGCGACCGATCGACAGCGTCACAGCTGCTTTAATCTCCTTGGTGACTGCCAGATAGCTGAGTTGTAACATCGTTCGGCACAAACGATCTTTGGCATGGTGCACCGATCAGGATTTTAGAAAGATCTGTTATCCGTTTGTATGCGTGTCTGTGAACTCGACGAGTCGTAGATGGCAGTCATGCTAAACTCACCATATTATCATTTAGACATCATCTGGTGCATCATAACGGTCGATGAGAATGGCTTACTCGACTTGACTCAGATGCTGTCCCATGCAACATGCAGTGACTCTGGTATCGGCGACGGCGACTCGGGTGGCAGCAGGGGTGATCCAGGTGCGACGGCGGCCACCTCGCACCTCGTTCGCACTGCCGACGAACCTCAGGTGACAATCGCCGGCTGGCAGAACGACTGCTCACCTCAATGCAACGAGGGTAAGCGAGTTGACACAGTAGACAAAAATACTCATGCTGTTTTTATATATTAATTGTAATAAAACTTTTAATAACTTAAATATGCAGTTCCACGGTATGCAACCACATTGTTGACATTGTTTCTTGCACTTGTTGTTGTATTACGTAATGCTTCCTGAATACGCATTCAGTTTGATCCGAAACATCAGGATTTTGTTTAGTTAACCTTATATCTACATTTGTACCCAAGACTGTGAATATATTGGTGATCAATAACTGAAGTAATAGTAATACTGTATTTGATGATTAAAAAAGTCATGGTTATAATAGTAAATAACTAACAATAAAACTCTCGTTGATACTATTTGAACAGTCCCGAAAGGCTTTCGTTTTAGGTACAGAAAAACTGTCGGATAAATATTGTTACCTTACTGTTTATTCTAGTAATTTTCGGTCATTACAAAACGCTTGTCATTGTTCTTGTTTTATCTGAAGGCTGACAAAGTGTAAGCGTTTAAGTAACTGAGCAAGCCTCCTCAACTATTGTAAGCGTTAGAAATTGCGTCTCAGATTTGTACACATTACCGTCCATGTTGATGTGTGCTGATTTGCAGTTTAACCCAGGTCGTTGGTACCTCGGTTTATTATTCAATTGCTACAAATTTTTTATATTCATTATTACTCCGTTTTTCCTACTAGATTTTTACTAAGCTAACCAAGCTTGATCCTGTCTTGTGCATGTTTAAGCTGAAGCTGTCATTTTGTTGATGGCTGAAGCTTCGTCAATAATGCAGCAGAGCCACACATTGCCGCTCCGGACTGGAAGGTAACTAGTTTCAGTCCATATCGTGTGAATTGAATTGAAGATCAACTTCAATCCATAACGGTATGGACGGGGTGGTAAGATACACATCATTGCTATCAGAGAAATACTGACTGATATATTACCGGTATTTTTTCTCGGCGTAGTGTAGTTTCTGCCATTACTGCCGCTTATGCTGTGGCTAGTGCCACTGCACGTACCATGTCCGCTAATTCTAGCAACAGTATCTTTACAAATATCAGTATTAGCACTGGTGGTGCAACCTTTATTACTGCTCACAGTAGCCCCAATACTTTTATTGATAGGTGTACTGCTGGTGGGTTAAGCCCTCTGGTATGTTAAAACGGCGCTGCTACCCGAACATTATATACCCACCAATGATATTTTTCCTCGAACAAAACCTCACAAATGCTTGCTCTTTGCTGAGTCCGTTGGGATTGATGAAGGTTGGAGAGACGATTCACACCGAAGGAACTGCGGAACGGTTACTCGTTAAAAACGCTCAGAGATAAACGGAAAGCGCGAATGGGCGGAAACTACCGTTTCGACGTAAACACTTGTAAACCATAAGACCCCATTGGTTAGATGACCCCGAAACGTGATGAAAATCTTCGTAGCCAATCATGAAGCAAGAGCGCTATAACCGATGCATTTATGTGCATCTACATTATGAAAACGGAACAGATCAAGGTAGTTGTCGTTGGAATATGCGAGACCCGAGGATCTGTGGAAATTGTTGCGCAGCGGAACAGCGGAGTCTAAGTGTTCCTCGATAAGATCTTCGAGAACTGAGCTTGGAAAGGTGGCATTTGGTTCGTAGTAAAAACGAGGCTACGCCATTTGTAGTAAGCGTTGATATATCACCTCGTAGTGCAGTTCTGCTTCTACCGATCGACAAGACAAAGTGCATAATCGAAAATGATCCAAGCTTGCAGCCCAATTTAGCATGCTAAAGATGAAGAGATCGATCAATTCTATGAGGAAATAACAGGCATAATGGAGAAGATGACGAAATACACAATTGTTCGAAAAAACTGCAACGCAGTTGTCGATGAAACAGGAACAGCACGACGACAGTTATCGGCAAATGTGAAAAAGGCAATGGAAATGAATGCGGAGATCGCTTTGCAACATTTGCTGAAAGAAACCACCTTCATTTCATGAACATCGTTTTCGAGAAAATGACGGTGGGACGTAAATGCTCGGATGATGCCGTATATACCAAAATCGACTATCTACTGATTGACTATCTACTATCGGAATTGTTGGTCATATATGAAAGCATCATCATTACACGATGTAACCACCGGATTTTATGTTCCACAGTTATAACTGGTGTTGCAAAGCAAGACCGGATCTAAAGAGTATGAAGATCTCTTTATTGTGGAGAACTTCTATTCGAACTTGGGTCTTTCACTGAGAAGTTACTATTAATGAAGCTTAAACGAGACATCATCGAAGGCGTGGATGCGGATTATGACCATTTTGTCAATGCTTTCGATAGGAACAACAAATTCAACGAGAAATCAGCGCATTATTACTTTATCAATGCAGCTAACGGCTAGAAAAGGCCAAATGAGGGCGAAATCAAAATGTAGAATGTGCACACTGCACTGTCGATTGTGACTACGAAACCTACAGAAGAATTCGACTAATAGAGGTCACAGAGGGAAAGAAATGTATGAAAATTATGGAACAGGATATTCGCCTAACATAACGGAATCCGACTGCACTAAAATGCGAAAGACGA